AACGTTCGACTAAAAGACGATGCCCAAAATAGCAAGAGAAGTACTGACTTATACGACTACGATTTTTGAAGGGGCCTGACTGCGCAACAGACAAACTTTCGGTATAACTTTCATTATAAAAATGGTAATCACCTAATTCTTGTTTTAGATGAAACCTAAGTTATTGAACTTCAAATCACCAGAAGAGTTTGAAATCATTCAACTGAGTTTCAGAAATAAAAAACAGCGACGAACAGCGATCAGTACAAGGGTCTCAAAATGGGTTTTCAGGGCTCAAACAACACAAGACTGAACGACAACGTGACGATGGTTTGGAGATTAAACCAAGGCAATTAAGGGTTGAAAGAGAGTTCCAATTCTCCAATAATTTCACAAGATCACTCACAATAACTCAAAATTTAAGATCTATGTATTTTCTTAAAAAATAACATTAGATCTTAAGTTTGAAAATTAGATCCAACTCAACAATTTTGGATCTATCAAAAACATACCAAGACAAATAAAGTAAACGAGGATCGAATTAGATTACCTGACTTCAGGAATATACAAACTAAAATGAGGGTCGGATCGGAAGAGATGAGGCCTCGGGCAGCCTTGCTCGGCCTCAGCGTCAAATGGCTTCCGTGCAGCTTTGGGTCGCTTGGCGTGGGCTGAGGTGCTTAGCGACAGATCGAGCATGAACATGGCTTCGTGGGACTGTTGCGAATGGCGAAGTGGTGGTCTGGGCGAAAGGCGTGCGTTGAGGCATCTGCTCGTGAGCGGTAGGCGTGGCATGGGCGCGTGGTGAGGCTGAGGCGCAGGGAGAAAAGGGCCGAGAGAGTGAGTGATTTCTGATCAGAAGAAATGGAAGATAAGAGGGCCTTATTTTTCAAAATTTTTCTAAGGCTTGATGAGAGTTGTCGTGTGAAAATGAGGGGAAAATGGGGGGAGGGGGGATCATCCTTAAATTATCAAGGCAATCAATGGAGAAATACTTACTTACCATAATGAGAGGCAATCATAGGCTCTTTAATGATGAAAATGAACTAGTTAAAAGCTCCTTAAGGGCTGGTATTTACTTGCCATAAATAAGGCTCCCAATGTTTGAAATTCAAAATTTTAAGTAGTGCCAAACTTCAAGTGGTATGAATCGGTTTTCCCCAAAGAAAAGGCAGATCTTGAGGGCACCTAAGGGCTAAACTAATACCAGCTTCTTGGGTTGGAAAATAATGTTCAAAGGGCCGAACCATTAAGCCCCAAATGGTCTAAGTCCAAGATTGAGAAAAGATCGAAAATGGCTCGAAATAATTCTACGCGATTGAACAAGGAATTTCCGAACGATTCGACGAGCGAATTTAAATCGAACAACGACAAGCGAACAATTTTCAAATAACGAAGGCATAAAATAAAATTAGAAATAAGTTAGGTAGACGATCACGTCTACAAAAATTATTCGACTTAATAAATTAACTAGACAAGGACATCTAATTAATCAACAGAAGCTTATCGAGGATTTGCCGAGCAAAACACCTTGTTGATGGACGGATCCGATCAACGATTAAAATAAAGTGAAATGAAAGTAAAAAAAGGAAACGGGAAAGATATACTGCGAAAAAGGAATTTATTAAGTAATTATGAGGTCGGCCTCTGTGAATGAGGTCGGCGCTTCTGTTACACTTAGCGTTCTTATGGGAATTTATTACAGACTTTAGAGAGAGAAAAAGTAGAGAGAATATAGTAGTTGAAGGATTCAACAACCGAAAATAAATGAAAGGGACTCCTATTTATAGTAGTCTTTAATTCCACATTGTTCCTTCACTGTTCATCCTGTCTCGTCGTACAGTAAATCTGAGGGACAGACCGATGTCTCTCTGACAGATTGGATGCAATTTGAGGTTTTTGCAATGATCATCTGTCAGGCATTGAATATATGTATGGGCTGCATTAAATGCGGACAGACCCCTAGGCTGGGCTAAACATTGTAGGGTTGCAGATTAGGCTGACACGTCCCATCGATAATCTTTAGTAGACAAATGGCATTATCCTATTATTTTTTAGGTCCTCAACTTGCGTGCATGCTGACTTGGTGGGAACCTCAGGTTGGACTTCGATCGTTAGTTCATCTCCCAGCCTTCGGGGTCCTATTCCTTTATTCGGTACCTTCCTAGGTCGGTTTCGCCACGAGGTGGTTCAAGTGCCGACCTCGAAAATGGTGTTGCTCATCATTCTCGTCGACTTAGTTTCCTGGCCAGTTTGGCACTCCTGCGGTTGTTCAGAGACCGGTCTTGATAATCAGATCGTCCTCCTCCGGTTCCTCGTCCTCAAACCGGACCTTTCACACATGCCCAACTCGGATATCAACACACCTAAAATAAAAGCGAGGCGGATAGATATAAAAATAAGCTAACTCATCTAAAACGAATGGGGTGCTACAGTGTGGGCCCTTCACTCCTAGACTTTCGCCATGTCACATCTCGACCATCCAACTTCTTCTAGATTGTTTCCAACACCTCTACCAAATTCTTGGTTTTCAACGGCGTGTATTTGTGAAACCTATGACCACTCACTATAGATCGATCCTTCCACCTATCCGCTCGACCCCTGTATTCTGTCTGTCCCTTCTGGGTGAGTCACCCCTTTTGTTTTTCGGTTCGGGTCTAGCCATCTGCTTCAGCTTAGCAAACTCTTCCTCTGTTTCCTCCAAGTTGACATACTTTCTGCACCTCTTCAAAAATTCATCATACGTTCAAGCTGGTGTTTTGGCCAAAGAACTCCTACATGGGCCAGCTCGAAGACTCATTATCAATCCACTCGCCTTGACCTCGTCAGAGGCTGATGGTATCTCCACACACGCTTGGTTATAACGTGCGACGTACTTCCTCAACGACTCGCCTTCCTCTTGCCTCATCGCCATCAGAGTTAAGTATGTTTTCTCTTGGTCCACTGCACTAGCATATTGATTCAACAATCTCTTTGAAAAATCATCAAAATCCCTCATCGACACTGGGGGATTTGGTGAAACCAATCCAACGCCCCTCCTCTCAAGGTCGAGAGGAATGCTCTGCAGCTCATCGCATCAGAATATCCATGTAACACAACCATATTTTCGAATGACCGCAAGTGCCTCGACGGTCGGTCGAACCATCGTACGTCAGGTTTGTCTCCCGGAAGTTGGTTGGCAGTGGTGCTGCCAAAATTTCTCTCGAGAAGGAGTGTCTTCGAGCATGTACCACTGGTCTACCATCTAACCCTGTCTGCAGCTGGCGCAAGTGCTCGGCCATCCTCTCCAAGGTTCGATCACTCGGGGCTTCATCTCCTCCAAAGCTCGACGCTTCCTCCTCCATGTTCTGCTGATGCGCACCCACTACCGTGGTTGGTACAGTAGTGGAGTACAAAGTGTGGTGTGTGGTCTATTGCACCGCCCCTGCTGTGACGACATTAGCTAACATTTTCTCCATCTCCTCCATGGTCATCGTCACCAACTGCTGACAAGGTCTATCCTCATCCTCTCTCAGTGGCTCCACCGATCTCGCTGGTTGAACACCGATTACGTCTGTTTGTGGTTGTGTAGGTACCGCCACTCCTTGTGATGCCCAAGACTCTTGCGCTTCGGCTCAAGCGCACCTAAGCTACAAGAATCACTGATGAACTCCTAAAACCTAACGACACCAAAATTAGGATTATCAGGGTGTGGAAAGTTCCGGAGAAGCTCGACGGAGGGCCAACTCTGAAAGTCCGCGTGTTCATTCACGCATCATCAAACGACGGTTGAAAATTCTTCTTAGGAACTTCGTTAGCCATGGATTTGAACATAATTTTTCGAACAACATCCCACGGTGGGGGCCAAATGGTATCGAAAAGGCCTCTGACCAGATGGAACTAACTGGAAAGCCTGGATCTCGAGCTGGTTGACGGTTGAACGTCCTCGAACCTGCAGAACTCTCACACTGGAGGGGATCTCCGGTGAAGAGTCTCTGATGCTTAAATGAGTAAATGTAGAAGATGAAGTGCAGATAGAAAGAGTTCTCTCTGTAGTAATATAGAGAATGTAATATGTTTTAGTCATACTTCACTTCCTTTTATAGGGAAAAGATACCTTAGGGCCCAAGTCAGGCGTGTGAGCTCCTCGATTGCGAGCGCGTGAGCTGCCCCGGTTGCCAGAGCTGACTGTAAGAGGTGGTTATGAGGCGTGGACCACTCAGGTGGTCCCACGTGGCTTTACCCATACGAAGGGTTTAATCCACTTAAGATTCCTTCCTCCCCTCCTTAAGTGACCTGATCATGAACTCGACCTCCGTTACTCCTAGGTGGGGTGTCATCAACTACGAGCTTTGCTGCCATGCTCATCTGATCGATCCTTCGACCAACTTCTTCATCAATTTGACCTTCGACCTGGCCATCAGAAATCTGCTATTCGACCTTCTGGTGTCATCCGTCCTCCAGTGCTTTCTTCGACCAGAGGGTCTTTCGACTTAAACAATCCCCTTTCCATCTTCGACCTGATGATCAGACCAGTTCGGCTTGGTTGCTTCTTCGATCCAGTCGACCAAGTGTAGTTATCCCATATCAGTAAAAATGATTGGTTGATATTAATTAATTAAATTGGTCCGGTCGACCAAGTGTGGTTATCCCATATCCGTAAGAATGATTGGTTGATATTTATTAATTAGATTAGTCCAGTCGACCAAGTGTGGTTATCTCATATCAGTAAGAATGATTGGTTAGATATTATTTAATTAGATTAATAATATTAGGGATAATGAAGTTATGTTGAAGTTATGTTAAATTTGAGGTTTTTTTTTTTTGGGTTAAATTTATATTCAATCACACCGTATTGGAAAATCTTTTTCTATTTTTTTATTAAGTGAAAAGTATATTTGTGGAGACTCCATCTGAACTCGTTAAAAGCAAAATGAGGGTATCCAAAGTCAAAATAATAAATAATAATAATAAAAATAAAAATAAAAATCGGTGACTAGAGATGAAGTGTCGAATTTAAGATGATTAGTTTTCAGTGATTCTCTTGAGTCCAAAATAAAGTCATCAAAGTCGAGTGATGCAAAATACTCAACTGGACCCGCACACACGCTGACACACACCACCGCGATCTCTCTCACACACACATACACTCACTTTTAAGGGAGGGAAAGAGAGAGAGGATGAAGTGAGATCAACCACCACCAACACCAATTTTAGGGATCGATGGCAGCTGCCAACTTTTCGCACCTCAAAGTCCAGTCCAGCCTCCCACTGCCGGTGCATCGCCTCCATAATCACCATCACCACTCACCGTCGCCCCAATCCTTTCTATTTCCGACGGCCACCCATTTCTGTAAAACCCCTCTCTCGTCCACCTTATTACCAAAACCTGCCTCTCTCTACTCCCCTCACCGCTCTTCGTTTATCACCTTCTCCGGAGGTGGTGGAGGAGGCGACGGATCTGGCGGCGGCGGCGGTGGAGAAAGTGGCGGCGATGGGGATGCAGGAGAGAGGAACAAGAATGAGGCGATCATGGCCTTGGCCGAGGCCGGCAGATCATTGGATAGCATCCCCAAGGACTTGGCGGCTGCAATTCAGGCAGGGAAGATTCCCGGTTCGATTGTACGGCGGTTTTTCGAGCTTGAGAAGTCGCCATTGCTTGGGTGGCTGCTCCGGTTCGGAGGGTTTAAGGAGAGGTTGCTTGCTGATGATCTTTTCTTAACTAAAGTAGCTATTGAGTGTGGTGTTGGTATTTTTACCAAGGTTAGTGGTCTTCACCCTTATATTTATACTTTTTTTTTCAAAAATTCAGTTATTGCATCAATAGTTAGCTTCCCTGTGATGTATTAAGATGTTGATGAGTTTGATGAGAGTTAAAGAAATGTGCTAGTTGATAACCCATGTTGTGACATGAAAATAGGACTTCCACACTCATTTAATTTGGTGTAATTTGGTGATGAGGTTTATATAATATGTTGGAAATCAGTCTTAAAGGTGCCTGAGTGTGGGGCACCTGAAATTTTCCTTCACATATGAGCTCTTGTATTTAGAGTCCAAAATTATGGCTGCTGATTATAATTTGTTTGGCCCTTGTGCAATCTTGATATGTAACAAAAGCGTGTATATATTGCTAAAAATTATAAAATTATTCTGTTGTCAGACTGCTGCGGAGTATGAGAGGCGAAGAGAAAACTTCACCAAGGAGCTCGATTTTGTCTTTGCTGATGTGGTAAGATTCTTTTATGTATTCTATATTGAGTGTTTGGGAAAGCGCTTTTCACCATAATGAATTACTTGTGAAAGTTTCTTGCTTAGTGATATTTGATTGTTCTATTTTCCACCGTGGACCTATTTTGAAATGCTCTCTCAATCATCTTTTGTAGAGAGAAGTTAGTTACAATTATAGTAGATAAAAAAAGGCGAAATTCTCATCCATTGCCATCAGTCCACTCGTCAAAGTAATTTTTGCGTACATGTATTTTTTTTTGAGCTTCTATCAGTCTGTAAATTACTTGGCTAATACTTTCCTTTCCTTTGATTATCACTTTGTCTGCCTAACTCAAGTCATTTTATCTGGTTCTTTAGTTTTCGATTCGGTTTCCTATGTTACTACTATCTCATATTTACTGATAAGCTTTTATGTAGGTAATGGCCATTATTGCAGATTTCATGCTTGTCTGGTTACCTGCCCCAACTGTCTCTCTTCGGCCTCCTCTTGCAATAACTGCTGGAGGTCTCAATAAGTTCTTCTATGGCTGCCCTGACAATGCGTTTCAGGTTTAATTCCTTTTTCCTTTTTAAAATGCCTTAATTTTCTGCTTGATTATGTGAATGGTTGTTACAGGAAACTAATAAAAATTGAAGTAACTTCTGGCAATGATGCAGGTGGCCTTGGCAGGTACATCCTATTCATTCCTACAAAGGATAGGAGCTATTGTGGTAACTAAATCTCTTTATTATTTTGTTTCTATTTAATAATTCAATAATCACAGTTCTAGGTTTTGGGTTCTTCTAAATATAAAAAGAACTTTTATTACTCTGCAGAGGAATGGAGCAAAGCTATTTGTAGTTGGGACCAGTGCTTCTTTGGTGAGACAGCATTTTGCCTATCACAGGACTTCTTCATTTGATAAATGTGCTGTGTGCTTCTAGATGATTTTTCTGAACTTTTATGATTTTATGAAGATCTTAAACTACTGCTTTGTAATTAGCAAATTTGATTTAAATAAAACATCAGTCGGCATCATTTTTGTGTTGAGCACACTTTCTAACCGTTTCACTATCCAGTTCAGCTTCTAATAATTGGTTATTCCTTTAAGGGCACATGAGATCTTCTTGTGACAGCCTTTTGTTCTTCGAACGTAACTCACACAACAATCTTGCATTACCTCTGTTTTCGGTGCTGATATCGTTCACAGAAACCACAGCGTTTGTACATTCTTTAAAGTCATTATGTGTTGTTGAGATTTTCATCCTTATTGAAGTACTAGTCATGAATATTTTTACAACTTCTGGCATATTTATTCTTCTTTCTTATGGGGGCAGTACATAAAGAAGACAGGTATTAATGTGCTCGTGTCTGTTTTGCAGGTGGGTACAGGGGTAACAAATGCTTTACTGAGCGCACGGAAGGCAATCGATAAATCTTTTGCAGGTGAAGCAGAAGACGTACCCATTATACCCACAAGCGTTGCATACGGTGTCTACATGGCGGTATCAAGCAATCTAAGGTAACAGACCAGAAAATGCTTAAAATCCCCATAAAATGCGTTTTCAATGCTTGTCTTGCAATGGGCCATTATACTTTCTGTTGATTTGAAAGTCAATCATATGAGATCATCATTATATGCTCCCGAGTCATTTGCCTTGTAAAATATGGTGCATAGGTACCAAATACTTGCTGGAGTTATTGAACAGCGAATTTTAGAGCCTTTGCTACACGAACAGAAACTCATACTCAGTGCACTCTGCTTTGCCGTGCGTACGGGAAATACCTTCTTGGGATCACTACTGTGAGAATTTTTTTTTCCCACTTCATGAATAAACCCTTTTCATTTTGGGATTTATTTATCCAAATATTGACAGTTTTCTAACTTTCAGGTGGGTGGATTACGCCCGATGGGTAGGAGTCCAGAAGATCCGTGATTAGAGCAGATGGGATGGATGTGGTTTTATATTCGTTGGCTGCTAACTGTGCTTTGTCATATAGATCTATTGCTTGTTTATAATGTTTCCCGTTATATCTGCCTTAAAAACATTGATCAAGGGATCAAGAACTACTTTGCTTGTTGAATTTTTCCTTGCACAACTGTGATGTACAAAAGTTGCAATTACTATTTGATGTCTTTGGTTTTTAAAGTTTTCCTTGGAACTGTGTTGTACAAAAGTAGCAGTTTGTAATTGGAAGTCAATAAGTTTAAGTTGGTGCCAACAATTCAGGTTTCTTTAGCACGGTGATTCTGAATGGTGCTTGTAACAACAAATTTCATGTATTGAGTTTGTAAATACAAAAAATATTTTATAACTGAATTTCAATGAATATTGTGAGTTACAATTTTTATTTCCTTCTCTGATTCTTCTCACAAACGATTTTAAGTCTTGGAGTGAAATTTTCAGCATCTTCATCTCTATCGGAGTATCTTCGCATATCATGATACGGTTCACATTTTTATTGTCTCACTAGGGGTTTTGAAGTCAATATATACTCTCAGCCATCCATTTCTTCTCGTGACAAGTCGTGTATGCACATTTTCATCAACTCTAATGATGTACCATTTTCTCACCAAATAATCTATCTTTCGCTAAAGATAACTTTCTGTTGGGATCTATAAGGATCGTCGTTAATATGCAAGTTAAAAATTTATTTATGAAATAACCTATGTTGGTATATATAGGTTAAGGTAGAAGACTCACGGTTTAATATTTTGTCGCCTCCGAGATGTTGTAGATTTCTGTCGTTGGAGATCGCTTGAACCTCAGAGTCAGTTGGGCAAACGGACTTGGCCTCGTCGGAGATTCGCGGGTCGCGTGCGTGCGGTCATGAGCAGCGGGTCGCGAACGGGCACCGGGGAGGACGTCGCAGGTCGTACGGCATCACGGGGCTGCTGGCGTCGTTGGGAAGCAGTAGGTCGTCATCGAGCGTGAGGGGATGTAGCAGGTCACGGTGTCGGGGCGTAGCGAGCGAGCAGGTCGCGTCGAGGCGTTGTCAGTGGACTCGGGTCATCTCGCAGCGGTGTTGGGCGACCGACAGTGGTCGGGTGCTCGACTACCTCAAGATCTTCTATTGATTACCTACACCTCTAGAATTCCCTTGGTGAGAAGGAGAATCTAGTTCGAAGACTAGAGAAGATGTGTAGTTATTGGCTTCAATAGGGACCCTGAGGAGGCATTAAATCGGGCTTCTCATATTTGAGCCTAAATGTGGGCCAAGCCTACTTAGCCCAAATATGAATAATACAGTCATTTCACTAAAGTATTATTATTGATTCTCCCGGTTTAATTCCCAAATTACAATTTGAGCTCCACTTTTATATTACTCGAATTACCTCCACATGTTTAAGATTAATGTCCGTCAATTTATTTAATTACTGATAATTAAATTAATCGACTTCTTGAACCGAAGCTAGCACCGTTCAAAACATTATTATTATGTAAGAATTTAATCCACCTGCAGAGTTTAACATAATAATCCTTCTGAACTCACTTCGGGGTCATCATCAAACCTCAACTTTGTGAAGTACATGGTGATCGTAAATATATAACAGAACACCATATCATGTAGGATTCATTACCCAAAATAGACAATTATTGGTCATGATAATAAACCTCAATTTGTTGATTCAAAGTAGTAACTATTACATACATGTGTTTGTTTATATCTTACGGGTTAAGAAAACGCAGAATATAAAAGTTATTGACTCTTAAAAACAAAAATTTTCTCTCTCATGCTCCTTCTCTCTCTAGCATTTTCTCTCTCTTTCTCTCCATCTTTTTCTTTCATTTTTTTTCAGCTTTCTGTTGCACCATTTTTCGGTCATTTTTCAGTCTTTTTTAGATCCCGCCGGCCGTCGCCAGCGGCGGCTGGCATCCGACCACCCTTTTCTTTTTCTGTTTTTAGGTTTAAGGTTTTTTTTCACTTTTTTTCGTCCTTGTTTCAGTCATGCCGCAGATCCTCGAGGGTTCTCTGGCCATTTCTTCGGCCAGCCCTCCCTCTACGTTCACCTTGGACCCCACCGACCTGGACGCCTTCTTTGATCACTCAGATTTCAAAAAAGCTTTCCATATTTTATTGGCCAAAAACAAAAAAACCTCATAGACTGGAAGAAGGGGGTTTCCTTGAAATCGAAGAACTTTCGTCTGCCACAGTCACCGGCCCCCTAGCCTTTGTCAGATCTTCCGGCCTCGGTTTGGTAAAGGAGGCCAAAACCTTAGCCTCAGCAGGTAGCTCGATTGTAGCCAACGACATGATGCCTTCTCCCAGACTAGTAACCGACCTCACAGAAACCTTATCTCCGGTCACTAACCTCCTCCAAGCGGCTTCGGTATCATAATTTGAAAAAGAAAAAAGAGATATCAAAGGGGGTGGATCTTGGCTCAACCGTTCAACATCTAGAGAAAAAGGACATGCGAACCAAATTGTCGGCTTTTTGGTCAGTTTTGGGTCCCTCTCGTCGGTCATTTGGCCGGATTCGACATCCCCACCGGTCAATGGAGCTGAGATCCCGATGGTCAACCACCTCGCTTTAAGGGGCAACTCTTCTTTTGGATGCCCTAATTCCTAGCCCTCAGCTGACATGGCGCAGTCCTGCTCTTCTTTGCAGCGCCACTTGGACGACCAAGATTCACTATCCACTGTTTGGGCCAATCCCTCATTTTCTCAGCCCTGGGCAGGCCATTTTGTGGACCACCCGCAGCTCACCTGGCACAATTAAGCCCCAGCATTCCATATGTTGTCTGCCCCTCACACCTTTGGGCCTCCTCTCTTTGGCCCACTCTGTACACTTTCTCAGCCCACTTTTCAAACCACCTCAACCAGGCCCTTCCCAGCAGCCCAATTCTCCCAGCCCACTCATCTATCAACAGCCCACCCCCACTCCTATACAACCCAAACAGCCCACACAACCCACCTAACCCCAGCCATCTCCCAGCCCACTGCAACAATATCACTCTCACCAAGCCGACCTGCCGGGGGCCACCGCCACCTCATACCCGTCGGCCGGTGACCCCTAGGCCACCGGAGGTCGAATATTTTCGGCCTAAATTCTTGGCCTCGGACATGTTTCTCTGACGGGCCCCATCTCACCGACAACCAGCACCGCCCATCGGAGCACTTTATATCAGACAACCCTCGACGGGCACCCCTTCGGGCCCTTTCACGACCTTCGAAACTATCCTGACTATCCTGACGGGCACCCCTCGACGGGCCCCATCTCACCGACAACCAGCACCGCCCATCGGAGCACTTTATATCAGACAACCCTCGACGGGCACCCCTTCGGGCCCTTTCACGACCTTCGAAACTATCCTGACTTCTATGTCGACATCACCGGCCTCGGCCTCATCGACCCTCGATCCTTTCGGGATGTGATCACTGGTAAATCCGCCGGTAAACCAGGACGTCAGAGATTCTCACTTGAAAAATTTTGGTCTAATCACCGTGGGACTGTCTCGCACTCCGAGGAGGGACGGTTCAAGTTACCTTAGCGTAGTGGGAGGGTTCCAAGGCAGCCATAGAGTTCATGTTCTTGAGAAAGTCCTTGGACTTAGTCTCTGCTGAATGTGAAATAAATCCCTGGTTATACAATGAGAAGTGGGAGCGTTGCAAAACGGTTGTCATAAATTCGTGACTAAAGAGAGAGTTTAAGGTCTCAGTCTCTGATAAGCACGAAACTATGAATTCATGTTCTTGAGAGAAGTCTTTGGACTTAGTGTCTGTTGAATGTGAAATAAATCCTTTATTATACAATAAGACACTTCGAGAGAACTTAGCGAACTACAACGTTTTCATTGTAGATTGATAAGAGCATCTAGTCTGTAGAACGAAATGGTCTACTTGTGGGCTAGAGTAAGTTTCGTTTTCCAGTACATTTGGTTGATGAATCAAGTCTGTGGTTTTGATCAAGTCACCAAATGAGCATTGTGTGCATGTGAAGCATGGTGGTATTTTTGTAAATGTGTAGACGACATTTTGATCAACTGGAGACAGTGTGAAGATGCTGTCAGACGCAGAGGTATGGCTCTCCAAACAGTTAGATATGAAACTTATTATCTATGGATTGTCATAAGGCTCATTCGTAACATACATAAAACAAAGGCAATTTCTTAGGCTCGACAATAAGAAGCCTAGTGTATGCAATGCAGTAAATTAGACCTGATATTTATTATTGCCAAAGACATAGTTGGTAGATATCGACGTAATCCTAAAAGGGCACATTGATCAACCGACCGTAACTGGGCTAAGGATAATATGTATGGTTACCAAGGAACCACATGCAGCCTACGGATTACACATAATTCTAATTTCTAATCAAACATGAGCAATTAGTAAAATCTACCTAAGGGGTTTGTGTTCACTTCTGAGGTTGACCCAGTAGTATGGAGAAATGTCGAACGGTAATTTATTGTCATATTCCACCATGAGACTCGTTCTGTTGCTGGCTTAAAATCAAGTGATGGGAGATGTCTTGATCCAGTGAAGGAATCACATGTTCATAAAGCAAGTAAGCGCATAGAAGCACAACCCAATGCAATAAACCGCAAAAGGGTAGAGCTTTGTCCTCCAGTTACGGTAGTACACAATCAGGAAATTCTTTTTGGAATTGGCTTTCTGGCGAAAGCTGTTAGGGAGTCAGACGTAGTTAGGAAAATATTTTTTGGAGAATAGAGAGCAAAAGATGCATACTTTTAAAAGCAAAAGCTTTAACTATAAGTGGGATTATTGGTATGTATACTGAAAGCTCAACTTTTTGTTAACACTATTCTCGTTTGAATGAAAAAAATTCATGTTTAATTAAACAGTTCAATGTTCTGTTGTTTTGCACTTAGATAAATGGTTCATCACGGATGGACAAAAGATTATTTATCGGTTACTTGCGAAACATAAAGAAACTGGTTCAACTCCTACATGAATATTGAACAAGCCATCAAAATAGTTGTAATGTGAATAGTACAGTCGGTCTTGACTGATTAGTTGCACTAGTACACATTAGTGTATTGAATAGATCCTAGAGAGGAGCTCTTCAATTTATATTTATCAGCGTAAATGAATTGGGTCTCGGCTAATTACTGCGTTATTTTAATCCGTAAGATATAAATAGACACGTGTATATAGTAGTTACTGCTTTGATTCAACATAGTGAGGTTCACTGTATATGGACCAATAACTATCTTTATTGGGTGGTAATTTTTGCATGACATGGTGCTCTGTTAAAATATTTACGGTCACCGTGTAATTCAAATAGTTTAGGTTTGATGATGTCTCCGCAGTAAGTTTAGAATGATTATAATGTTAAACCAGCAGGTGGAATTTATTCCGACATAATAATAATGTATTGAGTAGTGCTATCTTTGGTTCAAGAAGTCGATTAATTTAATTTTCAGTTATTAAATTAATTGACAAACATCATATATTAAACATAGTGAGGTAAATTGAGTAATTCAGAATTGGAGCTCAAATCGTAATTTGAGAATGAAATTGGAAGTTTTCAATAATACTACTTTAGTGGAATGATTGTATTATACATATTTGAGCTAAGTGGGTTTGGCCCACAGTTAGGCCCAAATATAGGAAACCCAATTTAATGCCTCCTTAGGGTCCTTGTGTAGTCTATAAATACATCACATCTCTTGGGATTGGGAGAAGAAGAGAGTATATATGCATATCATACGTTTTAGTCTCTCCCATCGATTTCTCTTCATCTCAAAATATCTTTGTGATTGTTGCCCACCAAAATGAGCGGAGAAGATGTCAGTTCATACAACTGAAGATCTGAGGTAAATCAAGCCCGATGAATATATATACAACCCTGTAATATATATAGCCCCGTAGCCGGCGACGATCATTCGACAACTACTAGAGAAGATCTCGAAAGTCCAGCAACCTCCGACAACATTGTCGGGACCACCCGCAGGCCTAGCCACCCTCAGTTGCGTCTGGCGGCGCTCAACCGTGCCTGGCCGCATGCAGACCCATCCCAGATTGCACAACCTGTGCAGACCCACGTGCCAGCATCCAGGCGCACGCTGACCCATCTGCGTCCTTCCCAGCACGCAGGTGTGCGAGCACGGCGACCCGCGAACTCCGAAGAGACGCGCAAGAGATCCGCGACTTCACGCGACTTGCGTCCCAGCTGCGCGACCTGATGCAGCATTTTGCGTGTTCCACAGAGAACCGCGTGATGCCCAGCGTTCCTGGGAGTAGACCCGAGGAGACCTAGGTCGTCTGCAAGGAGACCCGGGAGACATCGTGCATCCACGAAGCACCAGACACTCCCAGCACGCAGAGACCTGTAGAGACCCGGCGTCCCAAAGCACAGACCCAGGCAGCAGCGTGTACTAGCAAGGTCCATGGACCACTAGCGACCTCTAGCGACCACCAGCGGTCTGGAAACTTTTCGACGACCCTCTAGTGAGGCCAAACTGTTAGTTACCATGGTGCGAAGCCCAAGGTGGTGGCGAGGGCCGGTCCGGCAACTCAACGGACTTTGGGGTTCAGACGATCTCCAACAGCGGAAATTAGAAATGTCTCAGAGTCGAAAAATATTTAAACCGGTACGCGTTGAACTCTAGCTTCTAGTTTCGTTGTGCTTTAGGTTTAATTTGTACATAGTCCATTACTTGCATTATTTCGACGTTCCTAACCGAGCCCAACACACCCTTTGATACACATTGAAAGGTTGTGAAAAGGATTTTGAGATATTTGATTGGCACATCTTTTTTGGGTCTAAACTTGACAAGGGCAAAAGGTTTGAAGATAGTGGGTTTGTTTCTTTCATTGGCCGTGACCCTGATTATAGAAAGTTGTTACAGGAATTCTAGAGGAAATCTCATTGTCTGGTCCTCCAAGAAACAAACTGTTATCTATAGGTCTAGTATTGGAGCTGAATATAGGAGTCTTGCTCACACAAGTGCAGAAATCAGGTGGATACAATCATTATTGAAAGAAACTAGAACACTAATTCAACATACTCCAGTTGTTTGCTTTGATAATTTATGTGCTATAACTCTACCATGTAATCTACTCTGCATGCTCGAACTAAGCATATAGAACCGAATGTCTTCTTCATTAGAGACAAAATTAGCAAGGGTCAACTAGTAGCCCAACATGTCCCTTCATCATACCAACTGGCAGATGTCTTCACCAAGCCATTGAGTCATCAATCTTTCACTCATTTCAGATATGTTCTTGGAGTAATTAGTATTATCTCGTTCGAATTGAGGAGTCTGTTAGTATACACTCATCTCTCACCACCATCCCTGATGATGGCCCGTGAGAGTTTTCAAGCCAAAAACCTGAGCAAGCTGGCAGTTGTACAAAGTGT